AATTTTATAAATCACTACAATTGTTTTTATTGTAATTTCTTTCTTGATCGATACTCTGAATTATTTTTGATAATTCAATACTATATTTTCCCAAAACAATTAACAAAATTTGTTAATCGTTAGACAAATCTCTAACAAGAGTGTATTGTTATATTTTTAAAAATATTAATTTTAAATTCAAAACTAAAAAATTAAAAATTAATTTTTTCTAAAAAAATCTCACCTTTCATTTATTTGCAAAAAACAGGCATTTTCAAAAACTTCCGTTAAGTGACCGTTAGTTTTTTAATGGTGACCCAAAACTCGCACACATGCGAAAAGGTGAGATTATTTCCGGTGACAGTGAAAAGTGAAATTATTTTTGAAAGAGCGCGAAAAGGTGAGATTATTTGAGATAATTTTTCCAAAAAAATATTGTTATTCATTAATCATTACAAACGCACATAGCATACACAGTTAATTTTCAGTTTCTAACCATTTTACTAATAGTTGCCCTCTCTTTCTCTCAAATTTTTTCTATTTTGACTTTCTATGAATTTAAGTTTAAAGAAGAGATATTATTTCTTTAAATTTAATTTTTTTAATTTAGTTTAGAATTAAAAAATAAAGTTTATACAAATTAAAAATTTCAGTCATTATTCATTTTATATGACTATTGGTTTAGAATTAAAAAATATATTATTTCAAAATTTTCAGCCATTATGCATTTTATATGACTATTTTATTTTATCAAATATTTATTAAAATTGGTATATAAAAAAAGTAAATATAATTTGACCATAAAAAAATTAATGAAAATATTATTTAGGGAAAAAAAGTAGAATTTAAAGACTTGCTCCACCACTATATGTAAAAAAACTAGATACTATCACTAATGAATAAGCATGGTAAGTAATTAATGCTATTTTAATGAAAGAGGTAAGTAATTAATGATAATGTTAAATTCTCATTAATTTCATGCATGGGTCAAGATTACAACTAGATTAATTTAGGGGTTAATTTTGTCCTTTCATATCTTAAAACATAAATAAAATAGGACTGGTCCTATTTAAGAGAAAGTGTCATGTTTTAGCCCTATTCTAGCAATTTTCCTAGAGAAAAACTTCACGTTTCATTTTTTGCGCATCTTTAAATATACTTATATACATATCTATTATGTCTAACATTCACTATATTACTCTTTTATTACAGGTAGAAGTTGTTTTGGGGTATTTCAGAAATTTTAGATGTGGTAGAAGTGTTTTTTGAGATACGCAAAAATGAAACAAGAAATTTTTTTAGGGATAGAAGCAGTATTAAATTGATAGTTGAGTTGGAGAATGGTATAGTATAGATATGCTAATGTTCTTTAACAGATTGTTCTTGAGCTAGCAAGACAAGTTTGTTTTAAAACATGATGGATAAGAAGAGCAAAAACCTTGAAATAAAAAACCACTAGTTTTTTTAATCCGTGCCAAGCACGGGGCAGAAGATATTATTGTTCATTATAAAACTTTTCTTCAAATTTTTAAAATTATGTTCTTTTAAATCCTACTCTGCAATTCTTAGGTTCTATTTGGTTGAAAGAGTTATAATTCTACTTTCCAAAGTTAGGTTACATAATTGGTAGCAAATCATTTCTTTAGAATAATATTTTCTCAAAGAGATGAAAATGACTTTTATTTGTTTTGAATCAAAGTTTATTTTTTACTCAATCCTCAAATGCTCTAATTCATCGATCGAGTTCATCCCTTCTCCCACCCCCATCATCTCCCCTTGCTGCCCCTAGAGAATAGAGCACTATAAATAGATTTAAAATTGATCGTGTATGAAAAATAAATTATGCTCCCCTAAAATATTTTAAAATTATCTCAAAATATCTTTATTTTGTATTAAAATATCAAAATGGTTTCAATAAAATATGTTGAAGAGAATGATTTTTTATGAAAATTAGTCTCTTAGAATAATTATCTAGACACATATTTTCCCACAACTAAATGCACCTTGAACTTCCAATATTTTCCAATTTTTTGTTACCTTATAACTTCTTTTAGTTTCTTCCAACTCATTCTAATTTCTTTCAATTTAATTCTTCCAACCTCTTCCAACATTTTCAAAAAAATTTCCACTCTTTTAGTTTCATCTAACTTCTTCTTGTTCTTTTCAATAGTGTTTAAAAAAATTATTTGCATGCATTTTTCGTATTATTATTATCATCATCATCATCATCATCATCATCATTACAACTACTATTATCATAACGGTTCTAGACCCACTTGCTCCGGGGTGAGGGTTTACCAGAGTGTCGAGGGTAGGAACTATTAATTTTGTGAATGGTGCACCATAGATACTTCTATTGAAGCTAGTGTTATCTGGAACCACTTAAAATAAGTGGATGTAGAACCTCTGTATATTATTATTATACGAAATTAATATTTGTTTTACATGGAAATGCATATACCGGGAAAAAACAATAATACTTTTCTTCAAATTTATAAAAATACAAATGTTTAACTTTAGATGGACAAAGTATATGTTTTTTTTGTTTCGGTCTTTTATTTCAAATACAAACCAATTCAATTTGAATTTTAAAAAATTATAAAGAACAACTATATATGAAAAAAGCTGAAAATTGATAATATGCATTGATACTCATCAGCTCATGTTGATTGGAATGTATATATCAGTGCCTCCTTTATACTAAAAAAATGAACGGAAAATAGTATGAATCAATGTGGTGTGTGTGCAACCTTTTGAAATGATAGATATCTTTTTAATAAGTTATGAAAAATAAAGAAGTATTCATACCCTGTTGATCAATTCTTAAACACAAAATATAAATTAGGGATTTAATCATATGTACCTGATAATCCTGTAAACGTAGTTAGGGATGAGGCCATGATTCTCACGCAGATCGAGTTCCCGTGTATCGTTATGATGGCTAAGGTGAGAATGAGACTCACGAGAATAGAGTGGCAGAGAAGAGGCGTAAGATTGGTGTGTTGATCTCTGCCTAATGACCTCTATATATATACACCCAAGGGGAAACCCTAATTAGGTCATAAGGGTAATTACGTCCATCGAATAATTACCAATTAAGTACGTAGGGTATTTATTAGGTCAATGATCAATTAATTAGATAAATGATAACTCAGGCCACATAATAAAATCGTGTCTAACATTCTCCCACTTGGCCGAGTAATCATTTATGATGNTGACATCCATCTGATGTAGCTCTAAGTCAAAGTGAGCTACAAGGGCCATAACGATCCTTAAGGAATCCTTTCGAGAGACAGGAGAAAAGGTCTCTTGATAGTCAATTCCCTCTTTCTGAGTGTAGCCCTTTGCAACCAATCTCGCTTTGTAGCGTTCAATGTTTCCATTCGGGTCCAGTTTTGTTTTGAAGACCCATTTACATCCTACGGGTTTTACACCGTTGGGTAATCCAACCAAATCCCAAACATCATTTTTCTTCATGGAGTCAAGCTCTTCAATCAAGGCTTTATTCTATTCAGAAGACTGCTCACTCTTAATGGCTTCATTATAAGAGGTAGGATCAGTAAACTTTCCCGCATCCATTTCTGCTTCAGTGAGGTAGGTAACATAATCATCAATGTTAGTAGGCCTTTTAGACCTAGATGACCTCCTGAGCAAATTATCGGATTGAGCATTGGCGGCATTGTCTTGATGGTGATCATTTGAGGTGTCTTCATTTCCAGGTACATTTGGAGTAGGAGGTGGTGCAGTGTCCTGCAGATTGGCATTGAGTACAAGAGGAGTAATTGGAGGTAAAGTAATCGACAAGTCTCTCCCCCCCGCGTCTTGTACTTCTAGCAATTCATCATAAGGGTTTTCACTGCTCCCACTGACCTTAAAATCTTCAAGGAAATGAGCATCTTTGGTCTCTACAATGCGAGTGACGTGGGAAGGACAATAAAATCTGTAACCCTTTGAATGAGAAGGATAACCAATGAAGTAGCAAGTTACAGTTTTCATGTCGAGTTTCTTCAAGAAGGGATTATAAAGTTTAGCTTCGACGAGACAACCCCATACTTTCATATATCTTAGACTCGGTTTCCTTCCTGTCCGGAGTTCATAAGGAGTTTTAGGGATAGCTTTAGAAGGAACCCTATTGAGTATATGAACGGCTACTTTTAAGGCCTCGGTCTAGAGAAATAGAGGTAAACCTGAGTTGGCTAACATACTGCGTACCATGTCCATTAGGGTCCTATTTCTTCTCTCAGCAACACCGTTCTGCTGAGGAGTACCATGCATAGTATATTGGTTCACGATCCCATGGGCCTTACAAAACTCATAAAATGGACCAGGAGCTTGACCCACGCCAGTATGTCTACCATAATATTCACCTCCTCTATCTGATCTTACAACTTTTATCTGACGATCAAGTTGTTTTTCAACTTCAGTTTTATAATCTTTAAAAGTTGTAAGTGATTCAGATTTTTCCTTAATAAGATACAAGTACATATAACGAGAATAATCATCAATATAAGTGATAACTGAGTTATGTCCAGTTATGCCAGTGATAGAGTAAGGACCACTAATGTCAGTGTGAATGAGCTCTAATAAATTAGAACTCCTAGTAGTGCCTTTCTTATTCACTGATGTCATTTTACCTTTAAGGCATTTGACACATGTTCCAAAATCATTGAAATCGAGAGATTGTAACACTTCATGCTTCACGAGTCTAGAAAAACGTTCTTGTGAAATGTGGCCTAAGCGTTGATGCTACAACATGGATGAAGTTTCTAAGTCTCGTTTTCGTTTTCTCTTTGTTAATGTCTGATTGATGTTATATGACAACAAAGATTTGGAAAAATCATCATCTAGTTCTAATTTATAGAGACCACCATCCAGAAAACCATGACCAAACACTTGAGAATTGAAACTAATAGTAAGTCTGCCATGACCATGAGAAACATCAAAACCGTATATGTCTAACTTTGGTCCTGATACTAAATTCCGAGTAATCTCAGGAATATATAAGGTATCATAATGTTTAATACATAAACCAGTTTTCATTATTAATTCTAAGGTTCCCATAGCTTCGATAGCTAGTTCTGTTCCATTCCCCAGCTTAAGTGTTCTTCGGTTTCTTTCCAGCTTCTGGATTGTAAGGAATCCCTGAAGTGAGTTGGTTACATGAACCATATAACCAGAGTCAAACCACAATGTATTAGTTGGAACATTTAAATTAAATGACTCAAGTATCATGTAAAGATGATTACCTTTCTTCGTCGGCCACTCCTTAAAGTCTTGGCAGTCTTTTTGTCTATGTCCTTCCTTGCGGCGGAACTTGCAGTAAGACTTCCCTTTGGAGTTCTTAGAGCTGGATGAAGCACTTGCATCACGTTTCTGGACTTTAGAAACTTCCTTCTTATCGACATTGCCCTTCCTCTTCTTTGGATTAGCGGTCATGAGGTAAGCCACATCCGGTTTGTCCAGCTTCAGACGCTCTTCTTCTTGTACACACATAGCAATCAACTCATTCATCGACCACTTGACCTTCTGGGTGTTGTAGTTGACCTTAAAAGCTTCAAAAGATGCAGGAAGAGAAGTCATGATGAAGTGCACCAAAAAACCTTCACTGATCTCCATGTCTAAACCCTTAAGCTTACGGGCCATGTCGTTCATCATCATGATGTGCTCACGAATGCCGCTTTTCCCGTCGTATTTAGTAGTCACCATCTTCAAAATAAGAGTACTAGCATGTGCCTTAGAAGTTGCTTTGAATTGTTCCTCCACGGAAGCCAGATATGTTTTAGCATTAGATGAATCTGGAATAGCTCCCCTGATGATTATGCTGATAGAATTTTTGATGAGCATAAGAGCCATTCTGTTGCACCTTTCCCATCTCTCATGTACTATTTTATCTTCAGCAGTACTTTTATCAGTGAGGGCAAGAGGGGCAGGCTCTCTCAGTGCATAATCAAAATCCAACATGCCAAGAGTTAGCATCAGTGAATCTTTCCATGAAGAATAATTCGCACCGTTCAAAGTTTCAATTCCCATATTTGGGGCTGATAGTGGATTCAGATGAGAGAAATAAGACACATAACTAAAGAAGAACTTAAGGGGTAATGAACTAAAGCTGGCGAAGATAAGGACCATTATATAGTAATGAAGTTGTGATAAGAGTCTATTATAACACCAAAATAATAGACTAAATTTAATTCTACTCAAACAAGTGGCTTTCACTTTGGTTATGACCACTTATTTAAGTATTATGAATAATAAAATAATGATGTACAATTTGAATGTAACACATCACCTTTGCGCAAAAGTGAAACATTTAAATTTTAATGCACATATATATTTAGTTCGCAATACACAATTATAACACATCATCTTTGGACAGAAGTGAAAAATTATGTATTTTAAGGCGAGTGTCATGCAAATATCTATTTAAGGATATGCACTAAATGACAATGTTTAATAAGACTTGAAATAAATTTTACAAATGTTACACATCACCTTTGGGCAGAAGTGTATTCTAAGGTATTATTCAAGTCAAGCAAAATAAATCAATTTAACTAATCATAAAATACATTTTATTTGAGATTAGTCAAATGATTTATAAATTTAATGTTAGTAATTAATTAACCGCAAAAATTAAAGCGGTTGGGGCGAGGCCCGTCCATTTAATCAGAAAATCAAAAGGCATATAAGGCAAGAGATTTTCCAACAAGTAAAAAAATTAACTTTTTAATGGTATTTTAGCATATCCCTTATTTAGTTTTGCTATTCTTGGTACATAAGTCAATAAAATAAGGAAACAGAATATATCATGCAAAAGTGAGATATGTTATACGGAGTACAATTTAAGGAAAGACAATTATATTTCAAAATACACAACAAAATAAGATGATTTCATCAAAATAATGATGAACACTATGAATAATTTATCAGAACTATACTTACAAAAATTTAATTGGAAACAGGGATATTTAAGTTTTAATTTCAGAAAACATTGTTCTCGATTATTTGTGAGAGAAAAAAAAACAGTATGTGGAGATTTCAAGAACAAATTGTAAGTTTGTTTTAGGGAGATCAGAACAGATCGGCTAAAGAAAAACTTATTCTTGCTATGATATTAATACGGTACTCCATCATACTTTAAGTAATTGATTTAATGAGCAAATTCAAAGCTTAAAACAACTTACGTTAGGTTTAGATGTGATAAAAAAACATACGATGGAAATCTTGATTCTGATTTTGATTTTTTTTTGGAACTTGTGATTTCGTTTTGCAGCGAAAGAAAATAAAGCCACAAGTGAATTATTGTGGAGACACTACTGATTCAAATAGGAAAAACAAGAATTTCAAAAAAGAATTTGCACACTGAATGATTTCTGATTATAGTTCAGAAAAAAAATTGATTTATCAACATAAAGCTCCGGTACCACATGTTGATCAATTCTTAAACATAAAATATAAATTAGGGATTTAATCATGTGTACCTGATAATCCTGTAAACGTAGTTAGGGATGAGGCCATGATTCTCACGCAGATCAAGTTCCCGTTTAGGGTGTATCGTTATGATGGCTAAGGTGAGAATGAGACTCACGAGAATAGAGAGGCAGAAAGGAGGCGTAAGATTGGTGTGTTGATCTCTGCCTAATGACCTCTATATATATACACCCAAGGGGAAACCCTAATTAGGTCATAAGGGTAATTACGTCCATCAAATAATTACCAATTAAGTACGTAGGGTATTTATTAGGTCAAAGATCAACTAATTCGATAAATGATAACTCAGGCGGTCAGGCCACATAATAAAATCGTGTCTAACATACCCTTCTTCCAAACCATTTACAGCGCTAGAACTATTTTAATATATTATATTCAAAAATATATGTTGTCATTCGATACTTGAATGTATAAATATATGAATATCAAAATTATATTTTTTTCAATTATCTATTTTTACTGCTATATATTTTCTCTGTGAAAATTATGTTCCAATAAATAAAAATAAAGGCTAAAAAAGGCCTACTAATAATGAGGATGAAAACAATACTTTTCAAAATTTATATTTCTTTTATGAAAATACTTTCATTTAAAAAAAAGTTTTATCATTTATAAATACTGTTTGTATAAATAAATATATACTTTTAAGACAATCAATACCGTGGTGTAAATATATATAATATTTTAAGCAAAATTTAAATCTTGATAGATTTTTTATACTCCCTATCATATATTTAAGAAAATTTTAATTATTAAAAAGGTTATTGAATATATCAAACCACAAAGTTTTCATATTAAAAATTATATAATATACATGAACCCATAATGCACAAAGTCTTTTAATAAATTTCTCATCTTTAATTAGTGGTATAAGATGAGCTACTCTAGAGTATATTTTAGCTCAATAAATTTTCATACAAAATAATTAATTAATAATTTTTCAAAAATTGTATTTTGCTCAAAAGACATTTAATATCATTTTCGTTTTTATGAAAAAGACACGGGCTAATCATGATTAGTTTCTTTTTTATGATTAATTTATTTAATTTTTGTTGAAAAATTACATTTATTTCATTTACATAGTTTTCAATAAATTCAAAAGTCCTTAATTTTTCAATATAAAATATATTGTTTTTATATTGAAAGACATAAATGATGAATGAGCATTTAAAGCATGTCATGTAATTTATTCATGTGCCATGTCATTTAAAAATTGACATGTAAGATGACACATGTCAACTTCTTGGAGATATGAGTCTCAAATATTATACTCCGTAGTAAAAGATTGCAGTTTAGAAGGTTTGCTAATTGATAAACACACTATTTTTCTCAAGACAATAAATAGTGAACATTTTGATATTGGTTATAATGTAAGTTCATAGCTTTTCCTCAAAAGTTTAGAAGTATCATGTTTTAAAGATTTTTTATTTTAGAATTTTTTTGCAATGTATACACTTCTATAAAGTGAAGATTAATAAGGGGAAAAAACAATCCCGCAATTGCAAACACAAAATGGAAGAAAAACTAGTAGTATCCTCTAAGACTGCACATAAGGTTAACTTAATATGTATTTTCATAAAAAGAACTGAAATAGGACACAGAACAATACTGGTGATAAATTAACAATTAGAAACCAAACTTATAAGCAAACAATGCACAACTCGAGGTCATTTTTTTGGGAGTGCACCTGCACATTATTTTATAAATGGACACAAATACTGATGATGATGAAATGAGTAAAAAAAACTCATAACTCATTGATGAAGAAATAATCATTAAGAGCATGTTCTTTAGGACTGGGAAAAAAGAACAAGATATTGGAAAAACTGGAAAAAACTAGAAGGAACTGGATTCTGGAAGAACTCGAAGAAACTGGAAAAAATTGGAAAAAACTGGAAGAAACTTGAAAAAACTTGAAGGAACTGGAAGAAATTGGAAAAACTTCAAAAAATGGGAGAACCTAAAAAACTTTAAAAACATTTATTTTAAATTCTTGTTGTTATAAATTATTATTATTAATATTATTATTATTATTATTATTATTATTATTATTATAAGACATGTCACATAATGTAATCAAACCTATTTTTTCTTTCGTGATTGACATTTTATTTTCATTCAAGTCCTATTTTTGGAATAAAGACATAGAACTTTTTTTTACATTTTTTATGTTTTACTCCTATTTTAGTCTTTTTCTCTAAACAATTTTTTATAAAAATTAGAAAAAATGAGCAAATTTTAAGTAATAAAGGGAAATGTGAGAGATCTTATATAAAGTTAGATTAATAAAACATTCAATTTCACTATTTTATCCATAATTTTGTTAATATAATTTAACATATTGATGTTATCCTGTTTTATCATGTATACTAATATACAAAAAGTTTTCTTATTCATATTAAAAAGTTGAAGAAAAAAAATAATGTATGTGAATCGTAAAAACAGTGAGATGAAAAAAATAATTTATAAACTATAGTTTTGAACATAATAGTTGTAATAATAATAATAATAATCACATTAAAATATATCGTTTTTAGAGTAATTGGTTGAGGAGTAGAAAGAGTTTGAAGAAAATGAGAATAATTGGAAGGAACTAGAACGAACTGGAAGAAATTGGAAAGAAATTGGAAGATCTGGAAGAAAATAGAATAAACTGGAAGGAACTGGAAGAAACAAGAAGTTAAGAGTTCAAGACCTAAAAACGTGGTTTAGAACATGCTCTAAGTGTGTGAAGTAGGAGTCATAAAGAGTAAGGCTCTGTTCCGTTCAACTTATTTTTTCTGATCTAATTTGATTTTTTGCATTTCTGATCTGATCTGATCTGGTCTGATCTGATTGGATCTGATCTGATCTGATTGGATCTAATCTGATCAGATTGGATCTCATCTGATCTGGTTGGATCTGATCTCATCTGATTGGATCTGATCTGATTGGATCTGATCTAGTCTGATCTGATTGGATCTGATCTAATCTGGTCTCATCTGATTAAATCTGATCTAATTAATTATGATTTGATTTAAAATTCAAATCAATAATTTGATTTGAGTTTATAATAACGTTTGAAAATTGTAATGATAATTCATATTATAATATAATCAATATTTTTTATTTTATAATTATTTTTTAATAAAATAAAATTAGTTAATTTATATATTAGAATAATCATTCATATTTTAATGTAATAATATTTTTTATTTTATGATTATTGTTTGTGAAATAAGAATATTGATTTAATATTTTAATACTTAGTTCATACATACATTAGAATAAATATTTAATTTATATAAAATCAATACAGAGAAGAGATAGTATTTTTATTAAAATATCTCATCCTTATAAAAGATCAAAACTTTAGAAACTCAAATTACAGGTAGCAATAAAAATGTATTTTAAAATTAGAATTAGATTGACATTGTCAATGTATTTTAAAAATAATTTTTTCGACGTCTAATAATTAAGGATTAATTTATCAGTTTTCTATTTAACTTGTTTCTAAAGTTTAATCTTTTTCATTTTTAAGAATAATAATAATAATAATAATACTCCCTCCGTCCTATAATGATCTTCCCAGAGAACTATTCCAATTTCACGGGAATTTATATTTATTTGTGTTTTTTCATGACCTATATGATAAAATAAAATATTCTTGTCACCACTTGTTTTGTTGAACTTTTGGTGTAGTTTTTAAATATGCATGTTTTATTTTTTATTTCTATACCAATATTTAAATAAAATAGATTGAAAAAACTTGGGATTTTTTTCGTTTTGCGAACCGGGAAGATCATTATAGGACGGAGGGAGTAATAATAATAATAATAATAATAATAATAATAATAATAATAATAATAATAATAATAATAATAATAATAATAATAATAATAATAATAATAATAATAATAATAATAAGAACAACAACAACAAGAAGAAGAAGAAGAAGAAGAAGAAGAAGAATAATAATAATAATAATAATAATAATAATAATAATAATAATAATAATTCTTTATGGGATCTGATCTGATCTGGTCTGGTCTGATCTGATTGGATCTAATCTCAACTTATCTGGTCTGATCTGATCTAATCTGATTGAATCTGATCTGATTTGTTCTGATCTAATCTAATCTGATTCGATCTGATCTGATCTGATTTTAATAAAAAGAAGAAAAGAAAAAAAAAATAAGTTAGAACGGAAGAGGGCCTAAATCACAAGTCACAAGGTAAAGAGGACCCAAAATCCGAAGAAAAAATGACGAAGATGGATCATGGATGACGCCTAGGGTACAACAATAGGTGTCGAGAAAATTACAAGCCAAATTCAATAATTTTTATGGTATAATGATTTTGTTTGTTCAGTGGTGAGTTATTGTTTGAATTTTAACCATTATAATTGTAAACGATAAGGAGAACATTACAAGCCTAAGGCCCCGTTCCGTTCAACTTATTTTTTCTGTTTTTTTTATTTTTATTAAAATCAGATCAGATCAGATCAAACCAGATTAGATGTAATCCGATCAGATCCAATCAGATTAGACTTGACCAGATCAGATCCAATCAAGAATTATTTTTATTTTTATTATTATTATTATTCTTATTTTTCTTATTATTATTATTATTCTTATAAATGAAAAAGAATAAATTTAAGAAACTAGTTAAATACAAAACTGAGAAAAGTAATCATTAATTATTAGACGTTGGAAAAATTATTTTTAAAATACATTGACAATGTCAAACTAATTCTACTTTTAAAATACCTTTTTATTGTTATCCTTAATTTGAGTTTCTAAAGTTTTGATCTTTTACTATATCGAGTTGATCAACTATAATCACGACTTAAATAAAATTAATATTTAATATTAATATATGGAGTATATTTTAGTCTATCTGAAATAACTATTATATCTATGGTGTTATATTAATCATAAAAAAAGGTTTCGTAGTACAAAGCACACGTTGATATTTTATAAGGATGAGATATTTTAACAAAAATATTATTTCTTCTCTATATTGATTGTCTAAATTTAATTACTTTTTAATGTATATATGAATTAAATATTTATTCTAATGTATATATGAACTAATTATTAAAATATTAAATCAATATTCTTATTTCATACAAAAATAATCATAAAATAAAAAATATTATTACATTATAATATGAATGATTATTCTAATATATGAATTAACTAATTTTATTTCATTAAAAATAATCATAAAATAAAAAATCTTGATTATATTATAATATGAATTATCATTACAATTGTCAAATGTTATTATAAAGTCAAATCAAATTATTGATTTGAATTTTAAATCAAATCATAATTAATCAAATCAGATCAGATCCAATCAGATTAGACCAGATCAGATTAAATCAGACCAGATCCAATCAGATTAAATCAGATCAGACCAGATCAGATCAGAACTACAAAAAATCGGTTCAGATTAGAAAAAATAAGTTGAATGGAACGGAGCGTAAGTCCTCCCAAAACACGGTAGAGAGCCCTCAAAAATGGAATACCATGAAAACCAATACAACATAAATGACGGCAAGATTTAGTGGACATTAGGGGAAAAAGGATGCTTGAGAGATGTTTTTGACGACTTCAAAAACTAAGATAAATGTGTGCATGGCATCTTTTTCAACTAATTAAAAAACTAAATTGTCAAACTAAATAAATGGCATAGAATAAAGTTATTGGTGTATTTTGTATTGGTAAGTCAATTATTAACAATATCTTTCAAAAAATTAACTGATAGTTATACAAATGATAAACATGATTTTAATTAATTAGTTGAAAAAAAACTTAGTTGAAAAATAAATGGCAGTATAATTAAAATTAACGTTAAAATTATTATAATAGTTTAATTAATTAAAATTAACGTTAAAATTATTATAATAGTTTAATTATTTTTTAACATCATGATTATCATTTGTATAGTTATCAATTAACTTTTTTGAAAGATATTGTTATTAATTGACTTACCAATACAAAATACACCAATAACTTTTTTCTAGCTTTATTTTCTTTATGAAACAAAAAAATCAAATGATTAATACATCTGTGGAAGAAGAAAATTGTTTACAATTACCAATCATTGCCAAAGGTAAATGTTATGTTATCAGAATGATAACATTTGTATAATCTATACTAATGGTGTTAGAAATAGACATTGTGATAATCGTCCTAGAAATCGTGCTAACATAATCTTCTATCTATAGATGTCCAAAGAACTATCACTCTTTGTTAGAAATTTATGAGGTTCGTAGCATTGAAGATTTTTTGAAACGACGAACAAGAATTACAACTTGATAGTTTAACAAATCGCGAATACGCTTTCAGATTCAAAGTTATTTCGAGATATAACAAAATACTTTAATCGGATAAAACATTAATCAAGAATAAGCCTCGAATTACTGCCTCAACCATATCAACAAGACTCTTTTAGAGAGTCAAAATTCTTAGTGATCAGGCATGAACGTTCATAGAAGGAAGCGACATTCGTGCATCAGGGAAAGAACCGAACTTTGCTAGAAGATGCAAGTTTTTTGCGCGAGTTTTCTTTTGATTTTTTGATTGATTTTCACGTTTATCCGTACGCTCACATTTTTAAGGTTTCGAACTCCGTTCACGAAAACCTAAAGGATTTCCATAAAGCAATAATGTCCAAAATAAAAAAATCAAGTTGTCTACCCCAGCCAAGGGCTACTCCTTAGAACTCGCCACCGGGGGCTGCTGCCCCTAGACTTCCGCTATGAATTTGTAATATCGTTGAACGAGTGCGCATTTCGCATCTCCTAGCTCGTTAGACAACGTCTATTCAAATTTTTGTCTGATCTAAGTAAACTCAATCATACAAAATAATCAATGACACTAAAATCATCAACACTCTTTATCTTCTTTTTTTATGAAGTCTAAAATACTTCGCTCTCTTCTAAAAAATTGACATATTTTTAATTTGAACATCTTCTCAATATAATTTCTACACTTTTCTAATCCTTGTGAAGACAGAATGAAAAATTTGTAAGATAAAAAGTATTACTATTGATATTATTACTAAATAATACTACCTCCGTCCCATTTTATAACGCCTGTTTCGGTTTACGATGTTTGACTGAAATTATTTTCAAACCATTTTATATGACAAATGGTATATAATTAAAAAATAAAAATAACATATTAAAAAACTAAATCAAAAGATCTACAAAACTAGTAGTGACACTAATATTTTATTTTATCAAATTGCTAACGAAAATAGAGAAAGAAAGTAAATGAAGTTTGACCCTGTGAATAGTAAACAGACATTATAATTTGGGACGGAGGGAGTAATAATAATACTAATGACAATAATAGGTACTCCGTATTATTTAATCATAATAACATTATTATTCTTTAATTGTACACCACATTATAATGATAATTTTATTTAATTATAAACATTAAATAATGCACCATATGTTAATCATGTAAGAATTATTATTTAAATGTGGACAAGATTAACATTATTGTTCAATATTCTTCAGGACTAATCAGATCTAAATGAATCTGATTTGATTTTAAGAAAACTAAATAATACGCAAAAAAATAACTTGAATGCTAAATAACCTAAATATCAAGTATTATGATTGTGGAATAAACTTGTGACCTCTCATTTAAGAAAACACTATGATGCCGCTAGATCACAAGGTCTTTGATGCTTTTGTAGAAATTTAATGCGTAACCCTCTAAACCTTTGCACATATTTATTGAGGCACTTGGATTTTATTTCAAATATTCACAAAAAGAAATAATTAAAAGAGTTATGCTAGGAATTTACCTTGGTAGAATGCTAAAAATTTACCACGGATGACAATCGTCTATGAATTTGTACACAAACGGACGATAATTGTCTGTTAACACGCAAAGTTCACAGGCAATTATCGCATGTGTACAAATTCAAAAACAATTGTCATATGTGATGTCAACCGTTGTGAGTTCATAGCATTTTTATAATTAAAAATCGATTCAGCCCCTAGACTTTTAGTCTAGCAAATGATATCCTTAAGATGACAATCAAGAACAGGTATGTACGCATCGTGATAATGGATTATGAGTAACTTCCTCACCACAATCGACGCCTCTTACCGTACCAATAGGCAAAGGCAGCCAAAGATGCAGCCAATACAACACCTGTGGTAGTGTGCCAGGCATATAATGGCTTTTCTATTATCAAACCAGACTGACCAGCATCAAGAGACTGTGAAGGAGATGGTCTGTCACTCAGTGCCATGGCAAATCCTAGCCCTTGCCTTTCAAGTTCAGCCAAGTCTTCAATTGGCGGTCTCAACCGTGTGGCATTGGATATAGCTTCATACTCCTCTTTGGTTCCACCCTCCAGAAAAGACCCAATAAGGTAGCCCATGTTTACCCAGTATGCCCCAAACCTATGTCCCGTAAAATCACCAAAATGGACTACCTCTCCAGTATTTTCTCCATAGAATTGCCATGAGAGAGTGAAGACTCTGGAATAGAAAAATGGCAGGTAATCAAAATCTGCTGTCTTGTCTGGATCCAAGATTGCATTGACAGCATGCCTAGCTGACTTCCGTGCAGAGTCAACATGTTCAAGCCTGCGTGTTTCACCAACGATTTTGACTGGAAAAGCAGCAACATCCCCAATAGCATATACTGAGCTATTGCTTGATTGCATTCTCCCATTCACTTTAATCCCCCCTTTCTCCAATATCAATTGGCTTTCAAACAGGCTGGTATTTGGACGGATCCCTATCCCGACAACAACCATATCAGTAGGAAGTTTAGTCCCATCTCGCAGATTAACAGCAGTGACCTGCATCAGCCAATCATTTATCCCACTTCCATTATCAGATTAAGGGAAGGAAATGTCTTATTACTAGTATAAGAGATGAATCTATCATGTCACACAAATGAAACTCTGGCATCAACAGCTGTCTAAAGAACAGACATAATGACTACAGGTCATCTTTTGATAATTAACTTCACTATTGTAGATTCTACTTGGTACTGCAAGTAAATTACCTTCCCGTCATCATCAAAATCGAATGATGTCAAGACAGTTCCTTTAGTAAACTTCACTCCTTTAGACTTGTAAAACTCTTCATAGTAGTGTGCAATCTTCGGATTAAAAAGGCGTCCCACTAAACCAAAAAATGGGTGGGGGCAGCGTAAGAAAAAGACAATAAAAATGAATATTAAGGAAAAATGAATTATTCTTTTACTACGGAAACAATCCATCACAAAGAGAACTGATTAACTAAAATAGCTTAAGGGGAATGCAACAAAGGTTTGCAAATGTTTCCAAGAAGTCTCCAGGTCTGGGAAGCATGAAAAACAGATTCCTAATATTTTCCTAAAATTAACTTCACACTGAGAAACTTTCCTTTTCGTAAAAGCATATTGGAAAATTGGATATCAACTCACCTCAAAGAACCTTGATATAATTCCCAAGTTTTAGGAAGTGTTCCGTTCAACTTATTTTTTCTCCTTATTACTTATTCTTATTAAAATCATATCAGACCAGATAAGACCAGACAGATCATATCAGATCAAATCCAATCAGACCAAATCTAAACAAAATTAATAATATTTTTATTATTATTATTAACATTATTATAAGTATTATTATTACTATTACTATTACTATTATGATTACAATTATTATTACTATTGTTATTATTATTATTACTATTATTATTGCTATTAGTATTAATAATATTATTATTGTTACTATTATTATTATTACTATTACTATTATTATTACTATTATTATCATATTTATTCTTACTATTCTTATTATTACTATTATTATTATTACTATAACTATTACTATTATTATTACTCTTACTATTACTATTACTATTATTATTATGACTATAATAATTATTACTATTGTTACTATAATTATTACTATTATTATTATTATAATTAATATTATTATTATGATTACTATTATTGTTATAATCATTGTTAATAATATTATTATTACTATTACTATTACTATCATTATTAATATTTCTATTATTATTATTATTTCTATTATTATTATAACTACTATTATTATTTATATTACTATTACTATTATAACAATTATAATAATAATTTTAATTTTAATTCTAATCAAATTTATATCTGGTCAGATCCAATCAGATCATACAAGATCACATTAGACCAGATCTAAACAAAATGTATATCTGATCTAATCTGATTTTTTGAAGATCTGATCTTGTCTCGGATTGCAGTTATAATTAAAGCTATTTCTGATCTGGTCTGGTCTGATTTGATCTAATTATAATAAGAATAAGTAATATGCCAAAAAATAAGTTGAACGGAATGCTACCTTAGTTGCTTATTATTTATGTATTCTAGTAACATGTGTTGGGTTAATAATTCAAACAATATCCAGCCCAACAACACCTGGTAATCAATAGATGATTCACTAGGCCCAAAACTCCATTGGCCAAGCTAATCGGTGGGGTTTGATTCAATGCATCAATCAGCAATGGAAGCTGACCCAAGTAGCCCAATCATCCCAACAGTCAGCGAAGCCCAATAGATCTTCAAATAAGGATCCTATGAAAACACCTTATAACGATGTGGGTAGAATCGTAATAAAAACATTTACACCCAAAAACTCGTAATGGAATTATTTGAAGAGGATCATTTGGGAGTAAAAGATTAAGAGGAATCTTGCATTGCAAAACAGAAGACGCCATTTAATTAATGAGACAACAAGAATGAAGGATACCATTCCCTCCAAAAAAGCCAATAACCTTATGATGAATCAGTAATGTGGAGGTATTGTCAACAAGGTATGGACTCTTTATCAAATAAAACAGAGTGTGGGTTCGTTCAATTAGCAAATCTGTTTAGTTGAGTTTTAGGAAAATAAGATTCATGAAAATTTCCATGTGAAGAAAGGAAGGTAACAAAGGGGTTGGGAAAATATTCTTTTGCATCCAAGATGTTTATAGACACTTCAAACTGATTTTTTATTTCATTGTAGAACTTAAGAAATAGTAGTACATCAAATAGGTCAGGCCGATTTTCCATCAAAAAGACCAAGTGCAAGGAGAGAAATCCGTCCCAGAGTATTTGTCCACTTTCATTTTTACACACCATCCAATGCACTTCTTTAATCCATTTTATCTTGTAATTTGTATATTAAAAAATTATAGAAATTATATATTAATAATCTATATGTTAAGACAAATCAAACAAGATCACACATGACTATATTTAGGCTTACACATTGAGAGAATTTGATGAGTCAAAGTGCTTAGATGAACAGTTCCAAAAGTCAAAAGTGGNTTTTTACACACCATCCAATGCACTTCTTTAATCCATTTTATCTTGTAATTTGTATATTAAAAAATTATAGAAATTATATATTAATAATCTATATGTTAAGACAAATCAAACAAGATCACACATGACTATATTTAGGCTTACACATTGAGAGAATTTGATGAGTCAAAGTGCTTAGATGAACAGTTCCAAAAGTCAAAAGTGGACAAAAACTGGGGGACGGAGGGAGTAGTTAATAAAGGTAACAAAATACTTTCAAACTGAGATTTATGTGACACGGCATACACCTCACACATCACTATGGATAAAAGAAAAGGGGTTACTAGTCCTCTTATTGACTTTAATAGGGTAGAAAGAACGTGAAAGTTTCTCTGGTTGGCAAGATTCACTTTCAAAAAATTTAGGTTTGCCAGTCCAGGAGAAACTTGTCAGAATTTGTTTAGCCTAGGCTAGTAAACTTAAATAAATATATACTCTCTTCATCCCACTACTTTTACCCATTTTTAACTTTCTGTCTGTCCCACACTCCCACCATTTGTCTCAGTCCATATTTGATAATGTTTGTATCATTCCTACTTTTTCTTACTCTTTTGAGGTTTGAACATTAATATCAACCACAAATTTCCATTTTTCTTTACTTGTGTGCAACAGTACAACTACACCACATCCCAAAAATACTGGGGATGAAAGTATATTGCATATTGCTACCTGCATAGTCGGTTATTGTCTAGGTGACAAAGCGATCTGCTAATGTCAGACCATGCAAAGCCGCTTGCCAGGAGCCACAGGTTTTGATCATACACCAGGAAAGGAACATGTTGCCCAGATTTAGGCACAAGTGCTAAAACATACACTGCCACGTAGCCAACATATTGGTGCTACATGTCATGAGTTGTTGGCACCCCTCCTATATATATTAACCTCCCTAACCGAAAGAAGAGTTACATCTTGTTTACTGTTTTATTGCCAGTAACATAAACAAATAAGGAGTATCAGCAAATACTCGGGGAAGGCTTGAGACTTGGGTAATTGAGCCGCGCTCTTGCTTCACGTTACAAAGGCATAATATTATCTACAGAACTCATTTTTCCAGTATTTTCAGTCTAAGAAGTCTTCTAGTGTTCATCTGCTTATCATATTTAGACCAAGAACTGAGTTTTTGGGCCACGGAGCCAAGTTGTGTTTACACCAACAACATGCAACACATATGCCAATTAAGAGACAAATGAGGCAGTGCCAAGTTTCTATCAACTGTTAAAACACCCTAATAAGCTTATTTAAAACAAATTAAAACGGGACAAGGATGACTTACTACAGTGAGCTTCAGGGAAGACCATATTCACTTCAATTTTGTTTATCACTAAAGCAGCAGCGCATTCCATTCCAATGTAGCCGCCACCAATGACCACAGCATTTTTACCAGAACATGATTGAATAACATTAACCAGTTTATTTGCATCATTCAAATCTCGTAGATAACAGACATTCGTAGCGCCTGAATCTTTCACTCCAAACTCTTCAAGCTTCAATGCCTAAATTTAATGCATGCCAGTCTAACATAATCAGATCAATTTATACGGGTCTATGTGACATTTCATTAAAATAAAAAGGTTAGAAGTGAAACATGGTTCTAGATCACTAAAAAATTCTAAAGCACATTGATAATCTTTCAGTGAAAAAAATTCACGGCAAGAAGTCAATATCTGGTGTTATGCAGATAAAGATTTCTACTTACATCACTCATTCTCTATTTAAAAGCTTACTGACTATGACATTATTATTAGTGTTAGTACTTCGTAGATATAAGTCCTCATTGTTATTGAATATTGAGACATTAGAGGGCTAGTGGCTGTAGTGGGTGATGTTAGTAAGCCACTACCTGCTAGAGAGTGAAATAAATATAAGAGAAACTAGTAACTACTGAAGAAGAGAAAATGATTTGATACTACTTTTATAGAACTTCAAAAAGACAATATTGAATGTGTCAATATTGTCGGATGTGTCAATAAAGGGTACAACCTTCTATGCCCAACACCATCAAAGAGTAAGTGTCGGATGGGCTTTCAAAGATATGGCATGAATGTGTCACCAAGGGATAAAGACAATGTGCCAAAAGACAAGGTCTAAGACGAAAGCCTTTAATAGGAAAAGACACGGAAACACAAGATCTAGAACTACACTGAAGACTTTCCTATAAGCAGTAAAGGATTGAACAATTAAGAGATAAAAGAATGGGAGAAAGAGGGAAGAAACTAGGACCATAGGACCACAGTTGAAAAGTTCAGAGAGATTACAATATACTTCCAATCCTAGGTGTGGTAATTTTGGTATAAATAATTGCAATGGTCCTTTTTAATTAAAATGATGATGAGAATTATGGCAATAAGTCTACAAATCTGACACTCATAAAAAAAATGTGGGTTCCACCCCTATGAGAGTTATTGTAAAATGTCTACTTCTGGCATTTGTGATATAATATTGGGGCTTCGAGGCCATCAAGATATGACTTTCCACAGTTTGATAGCTGATTAAAGCATCAGCTATCACACTTGAAAAGTCACCGGAGCCTGAACAGTGAAGTTGAATGTGAAAAAGTATATGTGATGCACAGTAGCAATCTGTGAGTGGCTTCGGTGCATGTGGAACAACGGATTGCCAAAGATAGGGCTATTGAAGAGGTTATGAACAATTCTGTTTAGAAACAGTGGCGCTGATAGTGCCATGTGACTCAGCAATGCATAGGTGGTAGAATTGTAACTGGAAAAGGTCCCGCAAAGTCGCTGGGAAAAAAAATATGTCTGTTGCGGCCGTGTCGAAGGGTGGCAGATCAGTTTAAATTAAATAATTTTGTTTGTGCAGGACGAAACTTGTGGATGCGTGAGTGGAGCTCCTGTGGTAGGGTTTTCAGCAGTGAGTTACGACGACTAGGCATGTATGGCAGTATGTTCACTCTTGAAATATTATGGATTGTGCAACGATGTTGGATAATAAGATATTATGAAGCTAGCGGATGATGTCTGCAAGTCTCCACCCGCTAGATGCTGGAGCAAATATACTGGACCATATCAGTATGTTGGCACCTGCTAGATGCCAGAACGAATACTAGAGAAACTAGTAACTAAAGAAGAAGACAATGTGGTTTATATTACTTCTATTGATTTTTTTAGAATGACAATTAAGAATGAATGCTAGGTCTTTATAGGATAAAAATTAAAAACTACTCATAAATTTTTCTATTGACATCATGAAGTTGGCATCAAAAGGATGATGTCATACTTATAGGCTCTTCAAAATTACTTTTACAGCTATATTCCACAACTATAAACCAATAAAAAACAGAGATGTGCTTACTAACTTAATCTAAATCATGGCTTCTCAAGTATATATGTATTTATTAAAGTGTCTGAAGATACATCATGTTGTAAAACAACACATCAAGGTGATGGGGCAAAGACATCAATTAGAAAATTGCCATGATTATGTAAGTACCCGAGCACCAGTTGCAACAATAAGAATCTTGTATGTTACAGTCTCACCGGTTGCAGTTAATAATGTCTTCCGCTTCACATCAACTGACTTTACCTGAGTTCCAAGAACCAATTCAATACCTATACACAATGATATTAGTAGATGTAAACATGAAAAGTTCCGAACCATCCTAAACATCTAAGCATAGTTGTAAATTTGTAATCTAGTAATTGTCAATGATGCATTACGAAACTGCAATTACCGTGTTCTTTGTACCACTTTGGGGTTAGCCTCTCCTCATTACTACCTACACAACAGTGAAAATCTGGAATGCGTGCTGGAGCTGCATGTAGCAGAAACGTTAAAAAAATTGAAAACAGTGGCAATGGGTACCTATAAAGTTTGATAGGATTTACATGGGAGGACAAAGGATTGCTTCATCTAAAATATGCAAACATGTTAAGTAACAAAGTCACATGATCAATGAGAAAATAGAACTATGGCATCCTTTGATGCAACCATAATGAAACCAAAATGATTACCTTCTGGGAGCAAGTAGCCTTTGCTCAATGCAGGCCTTTCGTATGGTGCAACCTGAAAAGTCAAGTAGAAATCCAAAATATTCTAAAGCTTGGATAAAAAAGAAAAGCAAAACAACAAATTCAGTCATTGATAATGTCATTGAAGTAGTAATTGTTCTAAGCTTCCAATCCTTCCATCACGAATCACAGCGTATTCCATAGTGTCTCTAAGGCAGGAATATGCCAAAAATTGTTACCCACAAAATCACTTATGAGAATAAATCCCAAAAGTAATACGGAGTAGCATCAAAGAGACCAAGAAGAGCGAAATATGCTTTTTAATATCACATAGGGCTCGGCTTCACAGCAATTAGAAATTAACACCTCATCAGTCCTCACACTACAACGAATAAGGATAAAAAAATTCAAAACATGGGCCAATTTCACACAGTTTTTAATCCTACACTCTTGGGAGTTGAATTGATTATGGATGCAAAAACCTCACAAGTTAAAACGTGTCATCCAAAACGCTCACATTTGACACAATAGGCCAAAACCAGCCTTGATATAAAGATGAACGGCTAAAGTTGTGAGTGCAAATCCCCTCTCGTTAATACTATAATTAGATCTAATCAGAACCAGCAACCATATGCACAGCTATCAAATCAGATAATTCCACATAAAGGAAACCATCAATATATGCACAGCTATTAAATCAAAAGGCAAAAGCACAAACACGGCGCCCTGACATTTATTAAGAGCTGGCGCATAGCAAAATGAGCAAACAGCACAACAAGTAAACAAAAAAAAATCACCATAAACAATTTAAAAAATTTGAGAAGAGAAATTCATACAGCTTCTTCTGAGATGATGCAAAGTTCGCCAGGAGAGACGCCTTTCTTCACGAATTCATGAACAGCATACCCAGCTGCCACTCCTCCTCCGACTATAACATACACAAACGCCCTTCCCATATGGATTACTTGGGAGAAATTTTTAGAATCGACTACCACTTCAAAAAAAATTGAATCATAGCCTCCACAACCCAGCACAGCCCTCCCACCCTCTTTCTGTCACTACACGCCATATATCATTCATCAATCCGGTGTTTTTTCAAGAGTTAGAAGTCGCACTTCGAGATTTCATTTCTTTCAATTGATCACCTACCCTCTCATTCTATTCTTTGATGCACGTGGGATTACAGAATTACTACTACGGAGTACTTCGTACTCCGTAATAAATTACTCCGTAGACAGTACGACTCTTTAGCTCCTAAATGGAATGCTTTTTAGTTCCACAAAATTTTTGATATTTTAAATTCAACAGATTTAATGAAACGGTTGGAAAAAATGTTTAGTTAAGAATTATGGAGTACTACATTCGTTCCTGAATATTTGTCCAATTTTGACTTTTTTTAGTTAATTGTTTTTAATATTTGATCTAAAATTAAATAAAATATACTCCCTCCGTCCCAAAAAGTCTGTCCCGTTTTGAAAAAATTGCATCCCTTAAAATCCGTCTCATTTCTATTAAAAAATCAATTTTACCCCTTACTTTTTTCATACCCTACCTATCACATCATACATTTTTCCTAATAATTTACCCATCACATCCTACTTTTAGTCCATCACATCAAGGGTATTTTTGGAAAGTCAACACCAAAATATCTCTTCTTATTTTACCACTTTAGTCAAAATGGGACAATTTTTTTGGGACGGGGGGAGTATATAGTATATTAATTAGATAAAAAAAATATTTTGATATAATAAATCAATTAAAACTAATCTTGTATCAATATTTAAAATCATTTTTATTTAATTTGAGGTCAAAGTTTATCATGTTTGAAAAAAAAAAGCTGAAAATAGACAAATACTCAATAACAGATGGAGTACAGAGTAATATTTGTTTAAAAGAAAAAAAATATTGTTGATAGCAATATATTTAAGAAGAGTAAATTACATAAAACGTCCCAAGTTATAGTTCGTTTTACATATTTAAACCCTACATATCAAATATCAATAATTTAGTCTCCAATTATTATTTTGTTTTCCACGAATGATCCTATGTTAATATTTCCATTAAAAACGTGGATAAAATTGTAAATTCACGTTCTTCTCTCTCCTCAATTAAACTTCCTCTCTCCTCTCGGACTCTTTTTCCAAACCCGTCGCTGAGTTTGAAGTTTTCAACCTAAAACCAAAATTATCACTCCTCTCTCAATTGTTCCTCTTCTTGGTAGAACCCAAAATCGAAACTAGTATCCTTCATGGATAAGTTTTAAGGTTTGTTTTCTTTACAATTTTCTGAGATTAACCCATAAAACTCATCCATGAAGGTTATTGATTTTGATTTTGGACTCCACCAAGAAGATGAACAATTGAGAGAGGAGTGATTGTTTCGATTTTGGGTTTAGAACTTCAAACTTAGCGACGGGTTTGGAAAAGGAGTGTAAAAGGAGGAAGAAAGCTTAATTGAGGAGAGAGCGTGAATTTACAATTTTATCCGCGTTTTTAACGGAAATATTTACAAAGAACCATTCGTGAAAAACAATATAATAATTGAGGACTAAATTATTGATATTTGATATGTAGGGACTAAATATGTAAAATGAACTATAATTGGGGTCCTTTTATGAAATTTACTCATTTAAGAAACATTATCTTAAATAATCCTACCTTTAAATATTTTTTTCAAAATAATCTCACTTTTTACAATCACGGGAAATAATTCTACCTTTTTCGCACGTATGCGAGTTTTAGATCGCCGTTAAAAAGCAACGATCACTAAATGAAACTTTTGAAAAATGCCTATTTTCGCAAATAAATAAAAGGTGAGATTATTTTAGAAATTCATTTTTTTAGTTCTTTAATTTAAAAAGTAAAATTTATGTTTTTAAAAATACAACAATATACTCTTGTTAACAATTTGCCTCCATTTTTTTAAAAAAGAATATATGACAGTTTACAAATTTTATATTCATTCTTGGGGGGAATATAATACTCCATAGTGGGTGGGAAATATAATACTAGTTCAGAGTATCAAAAACTAATTCAGAGTATCATTTGAAAAAAAAATACAAAATAAATAAGTTTTGGTGGGTTATAAAACTAATTGGTGCCGTTTTGGAGAAAAACTTGTTGTGTCATTTTCACAGCTTTTGAATTGTAATTTTGCAAAAAAAAAAAATTGTATTGAGTTATCAAAAAATTTGTAAGTCTTGTATTGTCATTTTGGAAAAAATAATATGGGTAATAAATTATTATCGATAAACATTTTGGGGTGTTGTTCATGAAAAAAATAAGTGAGTCATAAAAATAATAGTTCCATTTCATAGAATACATTACTGTGTCATTTTCACAACTGTTGTAATGTTATTTTGCAAAACAACAAATATATACTGAATTATCAAAAAATATTCACAAGTTTTGTCGTGTCATTTCAAAAAAATACGGAGTAACAGTATAGTATCAAAAAAATTCAAAATTTCTCTCAAGAAAATAATCGCAGCTTACAAAAAAGTATAGTGAGGTACGTATTATTCGTAACAATGAAAAGTAGATTATTTTTGGAAGAACATTGAAAGGTGTGATTATTTTTGGAAGAACATGGAAATCTGTGATTATTTGAGATAACCCTTGCCCCTACCCCATGACCGTCGATCTCTTACCCCCCCCCCCTCACCATCTTTCCATCCTCATCCACCCCCACCCTCGACAGTCACAACCCTCTTACCCTCACACTCCCCATCCACCCTTGTCCTAGGGCTGGGTCCGTAAAATAAAAACCGTAAATCGAATCGAAACCAATCAAACAATACAAAAAAACTGCATTGTAAAAACCAAAAACAAACTCAAAAACCAAACTGAATCAATCATGTTCAGTTTCAGATTTGGTTGTTTAAAATCGAACAAAACTACTAATAACTAAATTGTATAAACTACGCTTAGTAAAACCTAATCGGCTAATACACACGCCGCCCACTCGCGAGTAAAGAGTGGTATTACAGGGTCTAGCTGGGCTTTAACATTTGCATTGTCCCCAACATTCAGGACCGCATTCGCAGTCCCGCTGACGGCGCATTCTTGTCTAGAGGAGTGAAGTTCGACCCCTCTATGTGGATGCTAACATGATCCTCCATCAACTAAGTGTTTTCCTAGCCATATGTGGAAGTTTGACTCATTCTATATAAGAATTCAAACTCTCCTAATAAGTTAAAAACATATATAATGCTAAACGCTAAAGATCTTTTTACATTCCTAGGGCAGGTGAGTCTCTAGAGATGTGGATGCGGCTTTTGGGTAACATTTATTTCTAATTGGAAGATCAGTTTTAAAACCATATGCTCCGATACCAAAATTTAACACCCCCACTCGCATAGCCCAAATACATGGGTTAACGAACTGGGTTGCTACTAATCTTATATCGAAAACACACAATATTTTAAAACAATTTAAAACATCTAAACAAACCCCAATTTAAAATCATTTATCGAAGTAAAACCAAACAATTCAGAAGCTTAAGTATTTAAAACAAACATAACTTCGGACTCATGCCCGAAAATGTAATAGGTCATTCGAACATAATTAATAAGAAATACTTGCACTAAATAGCACTAAAACTTAAGTCATATCTCTAAATATCACTTAAACTGTTTTATTCCCTAAATAGCACTTAATAATGTCCATCATGTCTAGTAATGACGAAGATTTACTTGAATAATGACTAAAAGTTCTATATTGGGAAAAAACACATATGATGCAATTTAGGAAAAGTCATTATGTTTTAGTGCTATTTAGGTAAATTTCCCAATTAATAAATCTAATTCATCAGCTATGTTATCCCACATATCCTTCTATTCATTATCTTCCGGGATCAGCTCTAGATTCATCATGTTTCTGATTACCTGAGTGCAGCAAACAAACACACTGCACGCTCGATCAGCAATGACGCTGAGTGAGAAATACCTAATGCCAATGTAACACATCAGCGAATACACAATCCATAATTTTCATGTGATATCTTGCAACAAAATATTATTCATACACATAGTTCATCACATAATTTACCTTACACTTACCATTTTCATTCGCTTCAAACATGTGGATTCTTCATGGTTGGTGGATCACCAGCAACCTTTACTTATATTCTATACTAGATTAAGAACTCTTTCTACTTTCTTTAGATTCATGATTGTTCCCAATGGACCAGCGAGTCATGCTTGACCAACGAAGGGGTTCTCTGTTTGGTGGGTATCCCACCTGATGGATCACCAAGAAGCTCAAAGATAATCATACATACATTTTTACCCGGATAGGCATTGGCTTAACCTCTTAATCCTAATACTTGTGCTAACCCTAGAGTTCCTCTAGATATACTTACCTCAGCTCATAGTGTTGGATCTATTACAAGAGAAATAGTACGGATGACAACGAATGTGGAAGATGAACAACCCCGGAAGAAATTAAAATAAAATAAATCTGAATTTATAATCTATTCGGATTAATTACAATAAAAATAAAATAAAAATAAAATAGCTTTCGATCTTCAAAAGCCTTGTTTGACAGTGAAGACTTTGTGCACTTAATTGAAACAGCGAATTAGGACATGGAACTTGTGACAAAAATATATAAAAAAGAGATCATCGTAGAAGGGCAACAAAGTTGCTGGAGCTGTCCTTAAGGTAATAGTGCCCGCCTACCGTACTAGAGAACGTGGGCACCTTCCTCCCAGGATAAAACCGCTATCGTGTGTGGTATTTGTACGGACCAACCTCACACCTACGAATGAGAACGTCGTCAAAGTGTTATCGACCGGAAAAAATGATGAGGACCGCCGGAAAAATTGGCCGGAAAACTAGGGTTCTCTCAAAGATTACACTTTCTTTTTAAGAATAAAATGAAAAGTTAATACTCCTTCTTTACCCAAAACTATACTCATGTCTGGTTCTTTTTCAAAGTGAGACCACCATTCACTTTAATAGGCTAGCATGATGGCTTTTCATTTTTATAACTTCCACCATTATCACCACTAATAAATTATTATAATCGTCATCATTAGTGGTGTGACATTAGTGGCATGTTAATGAGAGACCATTAACACGTTTGTTACACTACGCTCCGTTAAAATTTGTCTCAAATAATTGGAGATTAATGGCCAGTTAACTCCGTAAAGTAGACTAATTTTAAAATTTACGTAAAAGTAATAGAAAATTGGTTCAATAAAAATATATATGCATGTGCAGGCATCAACCATACCCTTCTATTTTTAGCGGATCATTTTTGAGAATCAATTTCTCATTCACCCTTCTACCATTTTTGGCGTATAATATATCTAAATATTTATTTATCTCTTTTTAATAGAACACATTTCCATTAATTAACGGTTAAAATCGTTAGTGTACCTATTGATAATTATGTCCAAAGTTGGTACATTTAATGCCTATTAAAATGCCAAATATTCCAACAAGATCAACACCCATGTAACCTATATTTCACGTGCTGGATCAGCCTGCTCTTTCCATTGGATTTAAGTTTTGATCAACCTATACCATTATCAATTCACATAAGTGTTGGATCAACACATCGAATCAAACACATTGCGGCCTAGTGTAGGGTAATAATACCATCACTTACAGTCATGCAACACACAAGGCCCTTGAGTATGATCTGGAGTGTTGCCAGGCTTACCTATTCAAATAGGCCAACAGCTATTTAAATAGTTTGCCATTAAGCAACCTTGCCTCTTCTAACAGGCTGTCAAATATTCAAATTGTTCAGCATGAGATAACCTTACCTATTCCAGTACTTTGTCATTTGTTTGAATAGTTTAACATAACAAGTCAACCCTGAAGTGACGAGCTATTCGAATAGCTACCCTCTGATTCAAATAGTTTGTCGTCTTAACCTCGATTCGTCCATGAAGTATGTGAAAATTAATGTTAAGTTCTAAGATGATAATGTTTTTGCATTTTTATATAAGTAAGGCATGTCCTATTTTAAAAAAGACATTACGAGCCTTGTATAACTCTTTTGTCTTTAAATATTCGTAGTATTATTTTTAAGCACGTAAATATTAAACATTTTTCAATATTTTATCCATAAATAACTTATTATAATTCTCAAATTCTTAGTATTGTTCTATTAATAAAGCGTGTATCATTTAAGAATATAGTAATTAATTTTTAACCAAAAATGAAAATCAGTATTTAAGAACATTATTTGATCGTAATGCATTTATAAAAATTTATATAATAAATTCTTCTGGTCAATTTAGCTATTATTTAATGGAAATATGTTCTCATAAATGAGAAAAATATCTTGATAAATTATACGCAAACAATGGTATAGGGTGAATGAGAAATTGATTCTCAAAGTTAATCCGATAATAGAAGAATATGGTAAAGATTGTAATTTTGTACTTTTATTGAACCAATATTCTATTACTGTTATTATTATTATTAGTATTATTATTATTACGGAGTATTATTCTACGTGTTTTTTAAAATTCGTCCATCTTTACAGAGTTAACTGACCATTTATCTCCAATTATTCAAGACTAATATTAAACGGAGCATAGCTTGTAATAGAAGTGATTATAACTCATTATTGTCATTACTCACATCATTAGTATGGAGGTTACTCCACGAATGCCTTCCACCATTGATGTTATTATTAATGTGGTATTATGGTGGAGGTTACAAGTTTTGAAGTCTAGCCTATTAAAAGGGAAAAACAAGACTCACCCCTAACCTCTTCTCGGGGTGCTCCATACGTGAGAGAGAAAAGAAAGGAAAACTTTCCTTTATTCTTATAGAGAGCTCTTGGTTTTTCCGACCACAATGTCCTCGTTGATGTTCTGGTTCTAGCTATAATGGCCTTGCCGCTACTTTAGTGACCACGATACCTTTCACAATGTCTTCATCCCGAACTAACTGTTTCAGCCCGTGCATAATGTCCTTGCAGCCCAGTGCATAATGTCCACGTACAACAAGGATATTTGAAGATCCAGAGAGTCATTATTTTCAGTTTTGTTGGTTTTGTCATATTCTGAATAAAATATAAATTCAGAATATATATTTAATACTTCTTCGAGGTTGTTCATCTTCACCATCTGTTGTAATTTGTACGTAATTTGTAACACATATATTATTTTCTAAGCGGACATAAACTATAGAAAAGATTCGAAATAATTTATTCTTCACACTGTCAAAAGTGGTTTATTGAAATGATCATACTAAGGTTATCCAAATAGTTAGTGGACATAGTGAAAGCTTCAAAGTTTATTTTAGTGGCATACTCTGACCAGATACCGTCACGGTTTACTAAGTGGGTCAACCCACTTCATAAGGCCAAATCCTATATGTCCAAGTGGATGAGCCTACAAATGATCATACTACAACGTGCGTACGAGAACCAAATAGTGACCCCGTTGGTCAAGGGTTCACTTGGAGATATCAGAAGTAAAACTACAAATTGACTAGTGTAGGGTTTTAGCCTAGTCACGGCATAGTCTTTGTAACGCCCCAAAGCATAACCTAAAATTTATTGAATTAATATTCAATTAAACAAATTTGTTGATTAAAATAAATTAGTACTAGGCTTTGGCCAATATGAAATATGTTTTGATATGTGATCAGGATAAACCTAATAGAGATAAATTCAATATATTGACTATTTATGTGACCTTGATTGGAAACCTATGTACAGACAAAAATAACGAATAAATAAAGAATTTTGTTTATAATATGAACTTTAGATGATTTATTGAAATAAATCAAAAGAATAAATAATATGAATTGGATGAGAGAACCTTTCTGAATAAAGGTCAACTAAATCAATTCTGACTCTATCAAAGTCAAATCTCAAAAAATATGATGTTAGAAAAAGTATTACAAATAAATGTAAAAATTATATCGTTGGATACAGTTTAACAGTTCGATCGCAATGATGCAAACGGATTTCAATTCAGAGAAAGTTGCACCAAAACGTATACCCCGACTAGGACTGAAATTAGTCTCAATCAGGGACTTGCGTTTGGGTTTAGAAGAAATTGTCGCCCCCTCCACTAACGCATAGCGCCACACGAAGAACAAGAAAACCAAGTGTCTTCTTCCTCTCCTCTCCACTATATAAACTTCCCCAATCTTCACCATTTTTCACCATTCTTCTTCTAAAAGAGAGTTGTGAGTGTAAAGAGTAAACTAGTGCTGCCAATTTGGTGTGAAGTCTCCAGAGCTGAGTGATATTGTCGCCGGAAGTTTCGCCGGAAAATTTCCAAAACCTTTGTTAAGCTTCGAGGTAAGCGTGTAGATATATCTAGTGACTAGAATGTTTGTATAGATCGTGTCTATGTTCATAAACGGTCGTTTGGTTGAGTTTTGTGTTTGACATGCTTGAATAACTAAGAATCATAAACTTTGAAATTGTTGTTAAAATACAAACTTATGATACCAGAATGACCTATGAACCTCGAAAAATATTTCAATATAGTTTAATCGAAGTTTGGTGACTAAAAATGACATTTCCAAAAATTATCCCAAGGTTGAAGATGACACTATTCAAAACTACGCGTAGAACGGTAGCCAACTATCGTCTGGACAATACCTTGGTACCGCCGGGATGGTAGGTCGTACCGTCGGAACGGTAGGCTAGCTACCGTCTCCACCAAAGAATTCGTTCTCTTTGGCGATACCTGATGCCAAATGGTACCCCGTACCGTTTGGGCGGTACCGAGGTACTGTACCACAGTATCGAGGTATCGTTAAGGGTACCGTCTGACCCGAGAAGTTTTCAGAAAATTTGATTTTTGAATTATTAAATCCTAATTTTGATCCCAAACAATTATGACTAATATAAAGATGATTTTCCATAATAAAATGATGTTTTTGACAAATAAAATCTTGTGTGATGCATGACGGTAAGCTAGGGTGTTAACACTCGAAGTTTGGCCGCTATTTGCTATTGAATGTTATGTTGATTAATGATTATGATGAATGATGATTGTGAATGGTTGAACCATGACTTAAAAATGAATATATATTGATGATATAATGTATATTGAATTTAAGAGTATCTAGATAACTCTAAGATATAGCCATGGTGATGTTGATTTTGAAGGGTATCTATATATATATGAATGTTCGGACAGGTCTCGCACTGAGGCGATCGGCATGAACAGTGACCGGTTGTCTTCTCCGTTCATTTTCGCAGTGCTACTGGTGGTGTAACCTCCGTTTGTTTTCGGTTTCTTCATCTCCTTGGTCTGGCGAGCTTATCCATCCTGAATTCCAGCGGCTGTGTTCTAGTTTTGGGAACAAACGAACTACCTAGGGTTCGCGACACTGTTCACCATCTTCTACAACAAGCTTTCTGATGGTTTTCCGGTAAGTGTGGCTGGTCCTTCCTTGTTTTTGTGATGTTCTTAGATGGCGAAGGGCAAGAAGAAGGAGCGTAGACCTTCACCTCCCACTCCTCCTTTAAAGAAAGACCTGTGTAACTTTCTTCGTGACTTGGAGGATGAATCTGGGGCTGGAGGTGACGCTGTGGATTGTGCTGAGAATTTGGATTTTCCGGTCATGACTGAGGACGATTTTCTTCCTTGCTCTAAACCTGGTGAGGTCACGGTTGAAGACGTTGAGGAACGGGATATTGTGAACACTGTGGATGCTGGAGTTGATTCATCTGATGAGGAAAAGGGTGAACCTTCGGTTCAGTCCTCCTTTGATACCTCAATTGATGAAGAGGAAGTTGCTAGGGCTCTCCAAATCTCATTGGAACAAAACCTGGATGCCACTTTTACTGATGATGTTGATAGTGCTATCCACAAGGAACATTTTTTGGGCAACGAGAAACCTCCTCACATTACTCCTGATACACCGTTGGAAAAACCCACCATCAATAAGGAGAAGGAGAAGGAAAAAGCGCCTCCTGATGCTGGGAAAAGTGGAGACAAATTGAATGAAAACAAAGTGGATAAGCCGGTTGATGGAAAGAAATCCTTCGCATCCTTTTTCAAGAAAAACAGAGCTGAAAACAAAGGAATGAAACTTCACAAGGTTGTGGCTCCTAAATGCTTTATACCTGAAGAAGATATGCTGACTGTGGAGGAGATTTAGGGACCTTGTCTGGTGGGCTGCTTCACTGGTAGATTCCCTGGGTTGATAGCCATTCAAAAACTGGTTGACAGCTGGGGATTTAAGTGCAAGTTCCTGCCCCATCACCAAGGATGGGTTGTCTTCAAATTTCTTTCTACTGATGATAGGGATCATGCATTCTTAGAGGCCAAGAAGGAAATTAACAATAAGAAACTCCTTATTAACATCCCTCCTGATGATTTTATGTGGGATATTAAGTCTTTCTCAACAATGCCTGTCTGGGTTAAGCTTTGGAATGTACCTATGAGGTTCTGGTCCCCAAATGCTTTATCTCATATAGGTTCTCAATTGGGCACACCCATGTACACTGATGGCCTCACTCACACAGTCACACAGCTGCATCCAAGTTGTCTGATGAAGATCAGGAAGAGAATGATGAGCTTAAATACCAGAAGCCTAACTACTGCAGAATGTTGATAAACATGGACCTATCCCTTACACCTCCTACTTCTGTTGAGGTGGAATTTGTTGGGGGTAGCTATGTGCAAAAGGTGGAGTATGAGGACATGCCACAATACTGTTATCACTGTAAGTGTTTTGGCCATGACCCCTTTAACTGCTCAGTTCTTCATGAGATCAACAAGAGAAGATTCAATGAAGAACAAAAAGCAAAAGAGAGGGCTAGGGTTGAAACCCTCAAAACCATAATGCTTACAGAAGCACAAGTAACAGCTGGAAAGCAACCACAACCACAGAAGGGAAAGGATACTCGGATAGATGATGTGAACAATACTGCTGAATACAAAGGAAAGGAAAAGGATAAATTAGGAGGTGTGGCCCAAAACCCAAATGATCCTGGCCCATCCTTCACTGCCCACACTGAGGATGATGGCTTCACACAAGTAGGAGGTGGCAAGGGCAAGCTTACAACACACCCTATCAAGGATGGAAAGCAGAGAACTGGATACAACAAAGGGGGAGGTCAGAATGGAGGATATAGAGGTGGGGTTAACAGAGGAAGGGGAAGGGGCTATGGCCCTTACCGTTGATGAAGATACTTTGTTGGAATATTAGAGGCCTTGGCAAGGCCTCTAAGCAAGCCTTTTTGTGTAAATACATCTATGATCTTGGAATTAATATGTTTTGCATTTTGGAGACCAAGATGAGTGATGCCAAACTCAACCTTTTTGCTAATAATAAACTCCCATCATGGCACTTTAAACATAATTTTGATTACATTGATGATGGGAGAATGGCAATTTTTTGGAACCCTATTTTTGTGGATTGTACAGTTTTGGCTACTACAAATCAATGTATTCACTGCAAGATCAAATGCCTTATCTCCCAGAAGTGCTTTTTCATCTCCTTTGTCTATGCTTTGTATTGTGTGACTGCTAGAAGAACTCTTTGGGATTATCTCACTGGCATGGCTGATAGCTTAACTGACCCTTGGGCTATCATGGGAGATTTCAACTCAGTAATTAGCTCTAGTGAAAGAGTTAACTGCCAGAGTCAAAGTGCCTATTTTATGAGTGATTTGAGACATTTCAGACTGCATAATGACCTGACAGATTCTAATTCAACTGGGTTGGAGTTTACTTGGAATAAAGGTGATAAGTGGGCTAAGCTTGATAGAGTACTTGTGAACTATGAATGGGATAATCTGGATTGGGAATGTTGGGCTGAGTTCAGAGATATGGAGATAGTGTCTGATCACTGCCCTGTTTTACTAAAACTTCTACCCACCCATTTTCATGGAACTAAATCTTTTAAATTCTACAACATGTGGACCAAGCATGATGATTTTGATAGAGTGGTCAGGCAGATTTGGGACCAGAGAATTGTTGGAACCAGACAGTATAGACTTTGCACCAAGCTCAAGAAACTCAAGTACCCCCTGAAACAGCTGAATAGACATGAGTCTGGACATATTACCCAGAAGGCTGAGGATGACAGAAAGATGTATAGCACCCATATGAAGATGCTTATTTTGGATCCCAATAATCCAATTCTGATCAAAGAAAGTGATATCCTTAGGAAGAAGGCTAATTTTTACTTGGATGCAGAGAGATTTTTTTTCCAGCAGAAAACCAAGTGTGACTTGGTCACTGAAGGGGATAAATGTACCAAACTTTTCCATAATCTCATGAAGAAGAGGAATACTATTAATGCCATTCCCTTCCTTATCCTTGAGGATGACAGAGTGACCACTAGCCAGGAGGAGATTGCAAGTGAATTCATACAGTACTTCACTCAGCTTTTTGGAAGAACTGTCCCCATTCAACCTGTTGACTGGGATGTTTTCCAAGAGGGCCCTACAATTTCCCCATCTGATTGCATAACTTTGACAAAGAAGATTGATATTGCTGAGGTTAAAGAGGCTTTGTTCTCCATTGGTAACAATAAATCTCCAGGACCAGATGGGTTCACATCAGTTTTCTTTAAAGAAAAGTGGGACCTTGTTGGCCAGACTTTATATGATGCTGTATCTGAATTTTTCATTAGTGGCAGACTTTTAAAGCAAATCAATCATGCTACTGTGGCTCTCATTCCTAAAGTCAGAGATAACCCTAGGGTTAAGGACTTCAGGCCCATTGCTTGTTCCAATGTTGTCTACAAGATCATTACTAAAATCCTGTCTAACAGGATGAGTCCTATTCTGACAGGGTTGATTGATCATGCGCAGGCAGCCTTTGTGGGGGGAAGGAATCTGGTTGACAATGTAGTTTTGGCCCAACACCTTGTTAGAGGATATGCCAGAAAGAGAAGTCCCCCTAATTGTATGCTCAAAGTGGATATTACTAAAGCTTATGATACCATTGCCTGGCCCTTTTTGGAAAATACTTTGACTGGTCTGGGATTCCCTAGAAGATTTATCAAATGGATTATGGAGTGTGTTACATCTGCTTCCTTTTCACTCTTTATAAATGGATCTCTTCATGGCTTCATCAAATGCCAAAGGGGGATTAAACAGGGGGACCCCATGGCTCCTACCTTGTTCTTATTTTGTATGGAGTATCTCTCCAGACTCCTCAAGAAAGTGACTAAACAGAGGAGATTCAGCTTTCATTCTAAGTGCTCCAAATTGAGGATCAGCCATATTGCATTTGCAGATGATGTTATGCTTTTCTCTAGAGGTGATTTGCCCTCTGTCCAGGTTCTTGTTGAAGCCCTCAAACACTTTGCAGCAGTTTCTGGATTACATGTCAATGAACATAAATCTAATATTTACCTGGTGGGTAAGATCAAGGATAATAAACAGGATATCATTAACCTTGTTAACTTTTCAGAAGGCCATTTACCTGTGAAGTACTTGGGTTTGCCTCTTACCTCCCAAAGGGCTTCTGAGAGAGATTTTGCCTCTCTTGTTGAAATGATTGATGATAATATCAAAAGGTGGAACACTAAGACTTTGTCCATGGCAGGAAGGGCTGAACTCATCAGGACTGTGATCCAAGGTATTGAAGGATTTTGGCTACAAGCCTTTCCCATTCACAAGATTGTGCTCAATAGAATCACCACACTCTGTAGATCCTTCCTCTGGGGCAGCAAATTCTTCAAGGAGGCATGGGATGATATTTGCAAGCCTAAGGAGGAAGGGGGCCTTGGTCTTAGAAACTCTGGTTACTGGAATCAAGCTCTTATGGCCAAAACTCTGTGGAATATTGCATCTAGAAAGGAGACTCTTTGGGTGCAGTGGGTACATGCAGTATACTTGCAAGATAGGGACATCTGGACCTGGACCCCGAAAAAAGAGGACTCACACTTCTTTAAAAAGCTGGCAGAAATCAGGGATATCCTCCTTTTTAAAATTGGGCCAGGAACCACAGATCAGAATGGTATGGACATGATCATGGCTAATGGAAATATTTGTACCTCCAAAGTTTATGACCTCATCAGAACTCATGGAACAAAGAAGGCTTCCATGAGGCTCATATGGCAGAGCTACATTCCTCCTAGATTCTCCTTCACTACCTGGCTTGCCTTAAGGAAAAGATTGCCTACCAAAGTTAATCTGAGTTTCATACATATGGACAGCAGACAGTGCAGCCTCTGTGGTGAGGAGCTGGAAACAACTAATCATTTGTTCTTTGCTTGTGTGATCTCAAATGATATTTGGAAAGGGATCAGGGATTGGCTGCATATTCCCAATGAACTGTCAACTATTAAAAGAGCCATTAAGTGGCTCCTGAGAAGGCATGGTGTTCATAGCAACAGAAGGAACATGTGGAGATTTGCTACTTTGAGCACCATCCATCACATTTGGAAGATGAGAAACCAAATCTATTTTGACAATCAAGGGATCAACTATCTTGCTGTGATTAAGAAGATCAAAGTGGGAGTGTATAAAATCATGTATAGATTGTACCCTCATTCCACTATTGCACTGTAAGTGGTTCTGCACCTTTCTGCTGCCCTCTTGGTCTTCCACCTTCTGTTAGGTGGTACCTGTGGGGTGGATGGGGACCTCTTGCTAGTACAGATGACACCCTATAGATGCCCTTGTGGATCCTAAGGGTGTTATCTAAACCTGCTTGGTGGTTTCAAATGTTTTTCCTTTCCCCTCTTTAAAACCTAGGTCATGATTTCCTTTAGGAGTTATGGCCTATGATTTTTCTGGTGGCTGGTTGGTAGGAAACTATACTGGGGCTAATAATAACCTTCTTGGAAGTTATTAAAACCTGTATTGTTTCCAGGTTAGGGGTTGGAGGGAGTAAGTCTAGGGGTAAACTTGGGTTGCCCTTAGAAGTACTACCTCACTGGTGGCATCTCTTCTGGTTGGGAACAAGGAACACCCTAAGAATGCCTTGGTGGATTCTTAGGGAGTAACTTGGGCCTTGGATATTTTGGCAAACTTGGATTTGATCTGATCTCACCTAGGCCTTAATCTGGGATTATTGGTCTAGGGTTTCTTGGTGGTTGGTAGTTCGGAAACAAGATTAATGCTGATAATTTACCCATGGGTAAATCATCAACAAAAATTTTGGGTCCCGGAAAGGGGATGGAGGGAGTAAATTCTTGAGTAAATCTTGATTACCCATGAAGATATTCCCTCATTGGTGGTCTCTTGACTTTTTCTTTGGAACAGGAAACACCCTAAGGATGCCTTGATGGATCTATAAGGAGTAACCTGGGCCATAACCTTGAACTATACTTTGTGTACCCCTTTTGGATACATAAAGTATGGCTCAGGTCCTGGGTGGGGTGGTCACACCACCCCCTCTTTCCTTTACCCCTCTTACCTCTTCTTTCTTCTTCTCCTCCTACATTTTTCTTTTCTTACCTTTACTTGCTCTGAGTCTGGAACTTAACCTCTTTACACACTACCTCTCTTTTGTTTGAAAGGATGTGTTTTAAATAGGTTGGGTCCCCCCCTCTCTACTGTTTTGCATTATTATGGTTGATGGTTTTGACCCTTGTCTGATTTTGATGATGGAGACCTGGTTCTTCAACTGCCTGGTTCTCCACCTTACTACAACTTGCCTCTGCTGATTGGTTGCTGATCTGATTGTTGCGACCAGTCACTCTTTTCCTGTGGCTGTCTCACTTATTTGCATAAGGGAGAATCTGATCTTGTGCCCCTTGGAACTGGGAAACTGATTTCAACAGCTTGGAGATGGAGCTCATTTCTGTGTTGAGAAGTGGAGTTTGTTTGGTGTATCTCCAATGGAATTGGAACTTGTCTACTTCACTACCTGTCTGTAGAAGATATGGCTTGTACCCCATGCTTTTGATGTATGGGCCTCCCTGTGGTAAAAGAGATTATACTTGTTGAAGGGTTATGGGCACACCTGTTTGCATTGGCTGTTTTAAGATGTGGCTTTGGCTCCTGTTCTGGCTTCCTTGTGTTTTTGAAGAGCTGTTACACTCCTCGAAGGGACTTGGGCTTACTTGTCTGCAATGGTTGTTTTGACAATAGTTTGCTGCTTTGTGAGATGTGGCTTTGAACCCTACGGTTTTGGCATTCCTGTGTTATAGAAGAACTGTAACACTCTTTGAAGGAATTTGGGTATACCTGTTTGCAATGTTTGTTTTGACAATAGCTCACTGCTGTGCCTTCACTGGAGCAGATGTAAATATGATGTTGTTTTGATTATTTGGCCTCCCTGTGTTATAGAAGAGCTGTTAACCTCTTCGAAGGGAATTTTATTAAGCCTTGGTTGTAATTGTTGTTTGATGTATTGTCTTGTAATTGCTGCTGTAGATGTGGTGTACTTGTAATTTCTTAAATATGCATGTAACCATGTTGATGGTTGAGCATATAACATTGATGTACCTTTTTGATTTGGGTAATAATAATTTTAATGTTACCCCCCTTGAAGGGTATCTATAAAAACTCTAAGATATACCCATTGAGTTAGGCCTTGCAGGTATGATGCCTGGCGGCTAGGGTTAAAATGTACGTACGAGATTCAAAAACCAAACTTGAGTACCTACTCGCTTGGGGGTACCACCTAATCCGACAGTGAACATTTCGCTGTTCGGTTTCTGGTTGACCTTAAGCGAAGGTAGGTTTAAGATTTTGAAAACCTCTTTAAAAATCTGTATCTTAAACTAGGCCTAGCTTAAGGGTTGGTTAGGAACACCTTGAACTAGAATTAGTTTAAGAATTAAATTAGCCTTAGACTAAGAATAATTTATGAGCATTGTTGACACTATGAATGTTAAATATGAATGTTGAATATGAATGATGAACATGAATGTTGAATAATGAATGATGAATATTGATTATTGATTATTGAATATCTGAACTGAATATTATGTGCATGACATCAAATGATTTGGTTATGAATTGAGATTCAATTTATATAGATGTTGGACGCATTAGATATGCTTACTCAACTCTAATGCTGAGCGTGTAGTACGTTTTATTTGCTACACGTAGGTTAATAGAAACAATGATGTGACGTGATCCTAGAGGCAGACGGAGGCAAGATTGTCAGAATGGATGTGATGATTTTGAATTAAAAAACATAAATAAATTATGTTTGTGATTATGATTTGTTAAGCTTTCGCAAAATTGAAAACTCTGTACTGTTTATGTTATGAATAGTATTATTGTGATAAATAAAAGTTTTTGAAATGTTTTAAATTTTTACGATTACCAAGTTAATACTTTAGTCCGAAAGGGCTGCAGACTTGGACGGATTATGGTGTTACAGTCTTTAATATGAGGCTAACCTAGAAAAGTCTAGTGTTTTTTTAAATATCCCTAGGTAACTATTTCAAAGTGAGAATTTCTTCTCAATGATTTGAAGTATGTGAAATAAATTGAACTTGAATAACTTAAAGTGCCTTAAAATATATATATGCATGTTACATATTTCTACAGGTTATTTGCCACTCAACTTTATGCTTAGCGTGTAGCATTTACCTGTACGCAGGTATTAGCTAGCAAAGGAACCAACAGTTGAAGAGGTAAATCATAGACGTGGAGGTCGTTCCGACACAAGAAACTTGTTAAGTTTAATATTTAGTAATGAATAAACTACTAAACTGACTTTATGTTGAATTGTCTTTGAATCCTAAGTTATATTTACTTTTGAACATTCTTACTTTAAGTTTTTTAAGTAATCAGTAAACCCTTTAATTATCAAAATAATTGTTAATACCACATGTTTAACTAAGTAAATCTGGTTTTGATAGCGCTCCAACCTGGGTGACTCGGGTCACCTTGGGTGGGGTGTTACAACATCAATATGCATAATTGCTTTGATGAGCTCATTGTAGTTCTGATGTACGGTCCCGTTGAGACTCCTTTTGAAATTCTCACCCAGCTCGTGGATGAAGAGCTCACATTGTTTCTCCTCATCAGTGATTAAATCCTTATCATAATTGCATAGCTTAACAAATTTTGTTTTGTAAGTTACCAAAGGCATCCTTTTACATTTCAGATTTTGGAAATCATTTCTTTTTGTGTCACGGAAGTAAGGAGGTATGAAATGATCACAAAAAGTTTTCTCAAATACTACCCAGGTTAGGGGTTCATGCCTCCCTTCTTTGTTCTTTTAAACTTTCCACCAATCTTTTGCTTTATTTTGCAGTAGAGATATGGTTAGTCGGGCCCATTCTTCTTCTTATTGGATGAGTGTATTTTCAAAAACACGTTTTATCTCTTCGGTATGGTGTTCTCCAATTTCTGGATGTCCTGATTCTCCTCCCTTGTATACCTATGCACCATTCTTCTTGAGACAATCCAATTCCAGCCTTCTAGATGGAATTAACTAACAAGTTGGTGGAGAAATTTTGCCAATTGATTGACCACGTTATTTCCAATGATATTCTCATTGTTAGCATTACGATTGTTATTGTTATTTCCTCAGTTTCCATTGAAAAAGTTTCCAACGTTTGATGCCTCAAAATCTCCGGACACATGAGGTTGGTTGTTCAAAACTTCCATTATGAAATTACTATATATCTACTTACCTCATATTTTTTTCTTGATCGATGTGAGCGGACATATGAAATCAAGAGTTATGAAATCACTATCTACGTACCTCATATTTTTACTTACATTGTTTCAATTATTTATTTTAAAACATTTTTGTTAATTCAAATTTTTAAAATGTAATTTTTGTTTTACTTTTTTCTCTTCGACATATTTTTTAAAATTCGAATTTTTAGTTGTTTGGTTCAATAAAAACACAATTAACCATTTGATTCGATTGTACTATGTACTATTTTATCGTTTCTTTCACATAATTTTTCTTTAGGTTTTTTGTATTAAACAATTTTTTTAAAAAAATGTATATTACGTAGCCCAAACAATTGTAACAAAAAAGGGAATGATTTGGCAGCCATCATGATTTTCCATCCTAACAAATTGCAACATAAATCAAAATTAATTTTATCGAATCTTTTTAAGAAATATATAGAGAAACTACCTAAATTATAAAATTCATCTAGATGAGAAAAATATCATACCACAATTTCATTAAACATAAAATTAGACTAATATATGTGAAAAACTTTGAAATGAAGTAGTAGAAGAAATAAATATTTTGTAATATTTGAATTGAACAAGAAATGGGTATTTATATATAAAAAATATAAATATTTTTGAATTCAAAATGTGAAAATAATAACAATTAGATTATGTAGAAAAATTTGAATTAAATTGTGTATGGGAAACAAGGAAAGAACTGTATGACTAAAAAGTTGCTCTCAACCAAACAAACACCTTCTTTTTCCAGAAGTATATTATTTACCTCCTACCCACACCCCTAATTTCTCCTACTCTTTCTAATCATTCATTCTTATCACATAGGCTATTCTACTCCCTATTCTTTAGTATTAGTGATGCTCTTAGAGATACCTCAGATACCCTTATAAGGGCATCACTATTGGAGGAGAAGAACAATTTGAAAGAGTAAGAGAATAAAGGAGATCGATAGAATAACATGGGAGAATAGCTTGGACAATCTTATATATATATATATTATAAATGAGAAGATGGAATATGGGAAAACATAATAAAAAAGTAAGAGAATGGTTAGAGAAGGGTGATGAGGAAAATTGAAGGAGAAAACAATATGACATTAAAAATAAATGATGCGGAAAGGAATGGAGGGAATGAATATTGATGTTTTAAAATTTTAAAAAGACGTCATATCCCATCCTATATATCCTATATCCTTCCTATATATATATATATATATATATATATATATATATATATATATATATATATAGTTGAGTGTATTGTTTGTGGTGTTGACATGTGGCATGCCACATGTGCACTAATGTATGAGATGGAAGTATTTCATTGGTCCATTAAGCTTATTTTTTTAAAAAGAATCCTTTAATATATTTTATTGTATTATATTAAATGAATATTATTTTTTAGCATTAAAAAACATTACTTTGATTATATATTTTGTATAAAATTCAACATTTTCTAACAATTCTATAAACATATATTTCACCATTGTAAAATTACTCCATATTTTAAATATGTATATTGATTGTAAAATTTTAAAGAAGAGTATGTATAAGACTCTTTATTATTAATTTAAAAAATATTTCACTTTCAGAAAAATGAAAAAAATATTTCACCTTCAAAGATATTAAATTGTTTTTGGCATTTTTAAGCTTTATTTATTTTAATATTTTTTAAATTAAATAGTTATAGAATATTTAGTGCATGTACATGAATATTTAAAGTATACTTTTTATTAAAAAGATATACTCCATATATCTTAGAGTGACAAAAATATTCATTTAAAATAAATAAAATTATATTTATAGAATGTCAAAAATTTAAAATGTATATGAGCCCGTGCGAAGCACGAGGTTGACACTAGTGTTTGGTATACTTTCAAACTAAGACTGCGTTTCATACGATTGATCCGATTATATCTGATCTAATTTTGAACATCTTGTCTGATTTGATCAAACCTAATTATAATTATATTTAAAGTTGTTTCTCATCTCATTGGATCAGATCTAATTATAATAATATTTAAAGTTATTTCTCATCTGATTAGATCTTATCTGAATAGATTTGATCCGATCTAGTTAGATTGAATTTGATTTGATCTGATTTAATTTTAAATACGATAATTAATTAGCTGGAAAAGATAAATTATACTCCATACCAAATACAACCTTCAATTCATTTTAAAATGCTAAACCACTTTCTGTTCATTTTCAAATTGAGCAATGGCAAGGGTACACTCCATTTGTCCTCCACCCCTTTCTCTACCACTCAATTTTATTTTATTTTTTTTAGTCTCTTGCCTTTTTACGTGGGTTTAGAGGGGGTGGAGGACAATTTTTATTTATGTACCCCTAGGATTTTTCTTTCAAATTTCCAGGCCTCAAAACGAGTAGACAATTTTGCATTTAGGCATCTCATTGTTGTTTCAAAAATTCCCGCTCAAATGCGGCTGTGAGTAGAAAGAAATTCCTTTCTTAGTTCTATAGTTCCACTAAAACGTACAGAAACACGCAATTTTAAGCTTAGTCGAAGATTTGAAGTGATTTTTGCTTTAGAAGAAGTGAGTTTCTGCTGGATTAGTCATGAGTGAGGAGATGGAATCGCTTACGGTTGACGACGAGTTGA